TGATACCATTGGGCTGCAGGGTTCCCAAGCGGAATATGAGTTGCTGTTCCTGCAACCTTCGGGTGGCATCGTTGTGGCGCTGCAGGAGGCCCAGGATGGACATGTCGTCTGAGGAATGGGAGGGGGAGTTGAAATGGTTCGCGACTGGGAGGTGCAGTTGTTTAGTGCGAACCGAGCGTAGGTGTTCCGCAAAGCGGTCCCCAAGCCTCCGCTTGGTTTCCCCGATGTACAGGAGGCCACAACGGGAACAGCGGATGCAGTATACCACATTAGCAGATGTGCAGGTGAACATCCGCTTGATGTGGAAAGTCTTCTTGGGGCTTTGGATGGGGGTGGGGGCGGTGGTGTATGGGCAGGTGTAGCACTTCCTGCGGTTGCAGGGAACGTGCCGGGCATGGTGGGGCTGGAGGGGATTGTGGAGTGGACAAGGGAATCCTGGAGAGAGTGGTCCCTCTGGAAAGCAGATAAGGGTGGGGAGGGAAAGTGTCTTTGGTGGTGGGGTCAGATTGCAGATGACGGAAGAGTCGGAGGATGATGCGTTGGATCCGGAGGTTGGTGGGGTGTTACGCGAGGACAAGGGGGATTCTGTTTTGGTTGTTATTGCGGGGAGGGGGTGCGAGGGATGAGTTGCAGGAAATGCAGGAGACACCGTTGAGGGCGTTCTTGACCACAGGGGTGGTTTCTTAATCTTTAAGACTCAGCAAACTTGGCAACTGTACTTCCCATGCATTCGTTATTTCATTCATAATGAACTAATCCCTGTGGCAAGCCCCTCATCACATGTTGCCAGCCTGAAAGAACCATTTACACTTCATTTCGTGCATTCCATTAGCCAATCTTCTATCCACGTCAGTACATGAATCATTACATGAACTTCATTTTCCACCATACTTTTGACGTGCCTCCTTATCAAAAAATGTTCTCTGGAAATCCAAGTACAGCACATCCATCAGTTCCTCTACCAACAGTAGGTGTTACCTCAGAGCAGCAACAGATTGATCAAACAGGGCTTAAAATAAAACCATGCTCAATTACCTTAAGTGTAGCCAAAAGCAGTGTTATAAAACATTCAATAAAACAAAAAACCACCAACATTTTCCTAGAAAATTAAAACTTTTGCAGTTTATGGGTCATCTGAAAGGCAGTATCTCCAGTGGACCGAAGCACCTGCATTTGTCATTCCCTCAAATATTAGCACGCATTTGCGGTTAAAACTTGGAACGGAATTTCAACTCTAGCATATTCTCAAGGGAAAACTGCTAAAGATAATTTGTAGCATATAATGCAGAAACAGAGGAGGGTCCTTGTGCTGCAGGGGCAGCAGCCCTAGGTTCAAGTCCCACCTTCTCCAGAGGTCTGTAATGACATATCTGAACAGTTTCTAATCAACCTATCTATAAAAACATGAACAATTTTAAACTGAGCTCTGATGAAGCTGCTGATCAAAAACAGAAAACACTTCCATTAAGGCAGCAGGATTGGGAGTGCTGGTGTGGAAGAGAAGGGTAGAAAGTGGAACACCAGAGTAGTTAACTATAAAGGCACAGATTTTGCCATCCTGTTCATGGGAGCTCATGAACAGCATTTTTTCTACAGCAGATTCACAACAATGTCAAAAAACAGAACAAGGCACACCACTACTAGATAAAGATGTTAGTCACCATTTCATCAACAGGCAGACAGGGGTGAAAATGGAAGCACGATGCAATGAGCACTAATTGTCAAGGGCAGGAAAAAAAGTTCAAAAGCAGCCAGGTGGCATACCAAGTTGTTATATTCAAACATGTTGCATAGGAGATTGGAAATACCTTAAAGCAGGACCTGTGATTTGTCCCCAATTATCTTTTAATCAACTGAGAGATAGTGAGAAAGTGTACTTTCCGGTACACTGGTGCATGCTCACTAATTTGCACATGTCCTGATCCCCCCCCCAAATTTGGCAAGTATCCTACACAACTTAATTAAAATCAAGCTGATTGTCTACATGTAGAATCCCAGCCTGGAAACCAAGACAGCTAACTAATATGGAGTTGCAGCAAAGGACCCTGGATAGCCCCAAATAACTAAACATATGACATATGAAGCAACAGCATACCAACGATTTCAAACATTGCATGCATGAGCAATGTAGCACTTATGGAAGGTACCAGACAGCAAGCTATCTGCCAGCTCTGCACTTCAAATTCATTTCGTAGCATTTCTCAAATATAACAGAAGATCTTGACACCCATAGCAATATCATTAGTAACAAAGAACTTAAACAGTCCAATTCACTACACATAGCTCACTAGAGACATAATGGGAGGAGCAATGAAATTAGCTCAAGTTTCATCATAATGCCATAGCTTTAATCAATTAGGAACTTAACTGAATTTAACATTGCCCATATTTAATATGAGGCTCAAGGAACTAAAGCTCTCTTGTTTCTCAGGATCAGCCACACAGCATTCACATCAGCTGCTACAGAATAAGCTGACTTAAAAAGATAGAGGCATTGTTTCATATGGGAGGAAACAAGTTTGCAGAAATTACACAAGTTTTGCAGAGGTATTATTCTTATTTTAAAAACATCCAAATACAAGTGAACCATTGAGATAACACAGCAATTACATCAAGAGAGGAGAATTTCATTTAGCCCTCTGATCAAAAGGATTTTTTTTTTAAAAATCAACCTGTTCGGCCACGACATACCTCTGGAGCAGGTGGGATGTGAACTCTGACCTTCTAGCCGAGAGGAGTCCCAAGTGCCCTGTTCAATGCTTTCCTCAACCAGAAAGAGAGGGAACAACTGATCATTAATCTCATCATTATGCAACAGTGTGCTGATCAAAGTAGGTGTCATGTTATCATGTTGTTTGGCTTCCACACAATCAACGCATTTCAAAACAAATCATTTGTTAAGTATAGTATATTCATTGATAAAATAAGGCTCAAAAGCAACAGTAAGCATTTTTGCTTAAGCAATAAGCAGTTAAAGTGTTAAGGACGCCCAAGTCCAAATGGAACAGTGAATAAGTTGGTGTTGGTATAGAAATAGGAAATGCTATTATGATATACTTGAACAAGTTAGCATTGAGGGGAGGCGATATTGGCAATTTCAAAAGGCTTGAAAGTGGATAGATTCCCAGGCCCCAATGAGATGTGCCCAGGTTACCATGGAGGCCAGGGAGGAAATTGCAACAACCTGGACATTAATCTTCTGACACTCCTAATGTAGCCTGACAGAATTTGAAGTTAGAGGACAGTTAATGTGGTAAGGATAATAAAAGGGAAACTACAGATCAGAGTGAGTCCAACATCAGCGGTAGGCAAACTAGTAGAAAAAGGTCTGAGTGACAGAATTAATTTCCATTTGAACAGGTGATGATAGTCAGCATGGCTGTCAGGGGGAGATCATATCTAAAACTGGATTGACATTTTCCCAATGAGTAACCAGGTGTATAGAAGAGGACAGTGCAGTTGATGTAGTTTATGTCGACTTCAGTAGTGCTTTTTAAGTTCCTTCATGGCAGACTGAAAAAGCTAAGAGCGTGTGGGTTCCACAGCAATTTGGACCCAAAACTGGTTTGGTGGCAGGAAGCACAGGGTGATGGCTGAAGGTGTTTGAGACACTGGAAGCATACTTCCAATGGCGTACCAAAGGCTTTGATGCCGGTACTTGGTTGTTTGCAGTGTACAGTTATAATGTAGACATGTACGACATGAACCTTAAGCTTTAGAGGACACAAACTGGTGTGTTAAGTAGCGAGGAGGAAAGCCTCAGGCTACAGGATGACAGATGGCCTGACAGTGGCAAATAAGAGACAGTGTTGATGCAGTTTGGGAGGACCAACAAGGCTAGGGAGCACATGATAAATGGCAGGACCACAGGAAGTATACAAGAATAAGTTTGGAGGAACCTTGGTGTGCAAGTCCATAGAACCTTGAAGGCAGCAGGACAGGGAGACAACAGTAGTTAAGGCAACATA